CTTAAGGCACGGAGTTATATAAAAGGAAACTAACGCAGACAGCCACAGGAAAAAAGAGCAATGAAGGAGTTCAGATGTCGTCCTGACAACTGTCAAGGGCCACTGTGGAAATAGTAGGCAATAAATCACCTGGCTGAATTTAAGACTTTTAACTACAGGTTTCCACAGTGCAGTTAAACAAAAGAAAGAGGGCTCAAGAGGTGTTTTAGAAGAGCTTATTTCTCTCCATCAGTAAAAAGGAAGCCTCCAATCCTAATGAGGTAAACTTGAAAATCTAAAGTTTAGTAATGTGAATATTCCCATTGAGGAAGCTTTCAATATTAAGACTGTCCTCTCTGGCTGCATGCAACGCAGCAAAACTTTCGATCAAGAACACTCAATCAGCCCAGGATCCTATAATCTGAAGGAGGAAAGAATTACACATGTGGGAAGAAATGTCTCAGGGAATGTTATCAAGTTTGCAAGCCTGCACATGACTGTAAAGGAAAAAAATTCCAAAAAAAAAAAAAAAAAAGGAATTCCAAATAAAACAAATTTAAAAAATAATCAGAGAATCTACAGCAGAAAAACAACCTCCTATTCATATGCTTGAGAGGGACATAACATGAAAATTAAATGACAAGAAATATGCACCTGAAATCCTACAGATATCCTTTAGCACAGGATGCTCTTATACTGTCAAGTAAATGCACAAATATTGATTGAAAATTGAATTTATTAATAAGTTTTAATCAGGTGCTGACAGACCTCTGAAATGAAATGTCTTAGGAGTTGCCACTTGAACAACTGAGCTGCTGTCTTTCTCCCCTCCACCCTTCCCGGACGGCTTGAGTAATGCTTCAAAATGTAGAAAAGGAATCAGAATACTACCTGAGGATGCTATCATTTAGGACAAAGTCAGATTCCATGTATTTCTCAGAAGGCAAATGTCTGTTTATTGGTTCCTTGCTACTAGCTTACAGAACTTTGAGGATGAAATTGTCCAATTACAACTACTACAGTTTCTTAGATGCTGTTTTTAAACACGACCATAAAAGGAAGCATTTAAAAAAACCCCAGAATTTATAAATATCAAAGGTTTTTTCTTTTTCTGTTCCCTTAGGATATATTTTCATTCCTTCACTCTTGCTACAGAAAGTTTTAAAAAAAAGCCAAAGAAGTTCAAGTAAACCGCACTTTAAAGAACAAAATAATGCACTTACTGACACGTAAAAAAATGGAAACAGATATAGATAATATACCAAGCTGTATCTTTCCAGGATTACCTTCTTAAACCATTCACAAGTTCCGCAAATGATTTTTCCCAAGCATACATCTTTATTATCTTCATACCACTTATGACTTCATTCATGGTTCTAATCCTGACGTCTGTTAAGGCCGCTGTCTTGCTCCTGTAAACAGCATAAAGTAAAAATTTTCAGATTCTCAAAAGAAGACAGACTCTTTATGATCGCAGAACATATTCATATCAATGTTGTTCTTGCTTTTACTTGTAAGGAGGATTCATAGAATTGTAATTGCATTAAATGTTCTCCCTAAAACAGTACCTTAAAGCTGATGCAGAGCGGACAGAAGTGGTACGTCTGTATTGCCAGTATTCCCTATTCTCAGGGAACTGTGAGCACTGGAACAGGCTGCCCAGAGAGGTTGTGGAGTCTCCTTCTCTGGAGACATTCAAAACCCACCTGGATGTGTTCCTGTGTGACCTGCTCTAGGTGGTCCTGCTCTGGCAGGGGGGTTGGACTAGATGATCTTTCAAGGTCCCTTGCAACCCCTGACATTCTGTGATTTCTGTGAGTCAATTCAACATTCAGTTTCATGTGTCAGCTTGTGCAAACACATGGTATTCCTTAAACAACGTATTTGTGTACCAAAAAAACCTCAAATAAAAAAAATTTACAAGCATTAAATTATTTTTAATAAAAAAATTAATACAAAAAATTTAAAGTTATTTAAATTTAAAAAAAAAAACCAAACCAAAAACCAGAAAATATCTTTTAAAAATTGTTTTGAAACGCCAAAATAACAACCCTTCTCATAAGGCTCTTTTGATGTTGTTAAAGAAACTGGCCTCCATTTGTGCCTTTGTAAGATTAACTCTAGTTGAAGCAAAGATCACTTACTAACAGTACAAGAGCTATAATTTAGGAGAGCTAAACTAAATATGGTTTTGTTTAATAAATAGATACTATTCAAGCATTAATTGTAATTAATACTAAAGTAAATTTTTCTACTTTAGTCCCACATTATGTTTGCACTGATGAACAAACTGGAAAATATAGTTAGTTAAATAATAAAGTCACAGTTTTAATTAGGAAAAAAGCATTGAAAGTTAGAAGCCATGTAACAAATGCATAAACCATGCTAATAAAGCCTATTATAATTCTGAAATCATTCATGTAGCTAAACATACTTCATATATAGTGAAATATGGTAGGCCTTATTTTCATAAAACATACCTTTTCTTGCTACTTATTTTTGTATATACCAAAAAAAAAAAAAAAAAAGGCTCTTTAGAAGGGGTGGAAGGATTTTGTTAGCTTGACTTGCCCCCTGTAAGATTTCTCTGATGCTCTGGAAGAAATAGCCATGTTCCGTAAGTTTTGGGATCGCAGAAGCAGGGTATTAAGAAATATTTATATAACAAAATTGACAAAAGAAATAGAGGAACTTGGCCCTAATGCAATCAACTCTTCTTGTACTGACATGGAACAAGATTATCTTTGCTAAGTCCTCAAAAAGAAACAGTAAAAGAAAAAGGAATTCCTCAAAGAATGCGAGAGCTCATCCTTTCCTCCCCATACACACACCACCACTGCAAAAGGCAAAATTTAGCACTTGTTGTTCATGTCTCTGCAGCAGCAAACAATTCTCACCCGCAATCTTTTGAAACAGTCACCTTTTAGAACTTCCAGGCTTGGTCTCCAGGTAACAGAAGGCTGAAGGTGATTCAAAATAATAAAGCTAATGGGGGTTTCATTCTCAAACGGTGTGAATCAAAAAGGCTACAGTTCTTATAAACTATTTTTCGTTTTCCGGCTGAAATGTTACCACAGCAACCATCCGCTTTCAAATGGCTTTCAAATGCTCAAGAGGTTGGGGGTGGGGGGGGGGGGTGTGTATTTTTCTTTGAATTTTTTTGAAGTTACACTCCTCTACCCTGCAAAAAGCGTATTTTGTACATACCAGCAGCCACAGGCTCAGAGATATTATATAACAGTTTAAAGTACACAGACTTCCAGTGCACTGACAGCAATTTACAGCAGAGGAAGACGTGTCCCCAGTTTTGAAAATAAGAAGTTTAGAGTACACCCAGATCAGGATGAGTGAGAAACACATGCTCACATAGCATGCTTAAGAGCACAATAGGAAAGGAAAGGACCTGAAAGTTCTTCAAGTCTGAGAAGTCCCCTCTATGACACTAATAGCCATTCTAAATTAAGCAAGCTGCAGAATCCCTTTTTGCTTTCATGAGGCATATTTGGTGGGTTTTAATCATGTCTGACACAATAGTTCCACATAGTTTTTCTCTTTAAAAAAAAAGCCTTTAAATGAGAATATTACAGTTGCATGGCTAAGTAGTGAAAGGGTTGAGCTCCTGTGAATAAATATACATAAAATTGTCTTCAGTCCAATAATTGAACTGTTTCTCAAATAATATATTAGGTCATGTGTATTTTGCAAAACTTCTAGGCAAAAGCAATACTGCACAATACAATGTATACCATTCCCTAGGATACTGAGACCATTTCTGCAAACTCCTACAGCACTGAAGCTGACGCCTGCATCATAAACTGGTGAGCACTGGTGAGCACGTATGTGTTTACAAGACTGGGTCACAAGTACAATGCTGAATAATAGCACAAATTAGCTGCCACATTGAGTGTGCCTGGATTTTAGCAAAAGCTTTAATCCTTAAATTATTTCTTCATAGGCTGATTTCCTTAAATCCATGGATATTCCCAGCAATTGCTGCGTGAACACACGCATCGTTATGGAGCTGGAATCCATTTCAGTTTTTCCATTAACTCCCGCTGTTCACTACACATTTCTATTCACAAATACAAAGATCTGTGCACACGTAAACAAGCAAAAGTTTTGCTAGTAAACAAATTCTTTCCCTTGCACTGCATCCAAACAAGTGGCTGTTAAGTAACAGGGGAAAAACCCAAACAATATTATGTTGCCACTGATGAACTTTTAAAATACACACCTTCAAGAAGAGCTTTTTGTCACTTTGTTGTCTGACCCTGGACAATTCCCTCAATCGCTTTTTGCCTCAGTTTCCCATCTGTAAAATGGGATAATAATGCTTACCACGATGGATAAGGCACTAGTTAAGTGCTAATTATTTTAACTATTGACTCAAAGCTCAAAACCTCAAAAACTTAAAACTCAAACAACTCAACAGTGAAGTAGCTTGATACTTACACATGCATATTACACATGCAGAGAAAATGCACATGTAAGAATGTATTGGAAGTGTTCTACAAATAGGTTTTATCATAAAAACCCCTAAGAATTTGACAGAGAACACTGAGTGGCTCATTATTTGAGAAACAGCACATGAGCATAACTACTGAAGACTATCCCAGTGGTTACGAATAGAAGGAAGTCTACAAGTTGGTCTCATCTTCTAACAGTAGGCTCTCTCTTCATACCTAGCCATGCAATGACAATGCTAGTCTCAGAATCTCTGGGACACTTGTCTTAAAATACAACTCGAAAACAACAGTAACACACTAAAAACCGATTCACTTATCCAAAGAGCTAGAAGGAACACATTTACCCTGAACACACATGCAACAAAGATGCATAACACTACTAAGCATATGCATACACAGTGAAGGAACACAAAAATATTCCCATTTAGATGCAAAGACCATTTAAAAACTCATGATCTAAGGACAGCATGATTAATTACGCAAGAAAAATAAAGTTGGGAATAAGGACATTGAAGATAATTCAATATTGCCACTTGAGGCAAGCCTTTTTTTTTATGAGGAAGTCACAGAAAAACAAATTAAATTTGTCTGATAATGGAAAACTACTGCAAACTGATTTTATGTCTCCACAGCCTTCTAGAACCTTACAATTAGAAACCTCATAGCTGGCATCAAAACCATCATAAAAACTTTTTTCTTCCTTTCTCTCTCAGTTCATTCTCCTTTTTATTGTCTCCATCTTTGTCTTGGAGGAGAGAGCACAAGATCTTTGAAAAAGAAACTTTCAGAGCTTTCTCCTTTATCATCCCAGTAAGTCAAACTTACAGCAGGACTGACAGTATTGCCTCTGTAGTAACCACTCCCTAAGCATCAATGCAGGAAGGCAAAGCTCAATGAGTTGCACAATCCTATGCCAAGATCTACAGCAAGGTAGCTACAGAAGTAGCCCAACTCTTTTAATATACTGGACAGCTAACAAGTAGCAGGTATTTTCAGCATGTCTGGAAGACAGACCACTTCAAGTCCCTAAATTCAGAAGTCTCACATGAGCAATGAAAAACATTGGCAAACATAAAAGACTGCCAAAAACCTCACCAGACAGAAGCTGATCTCAGAGCAGTACTCCACCTCCATCCAGTATGCACATTTTAAAACCCAGGACAGAAAACACCTACAACCCAACAGGTGCAACCTTACCTCAGGGAAGAAAAAAGCCTCCCAATGCAGGTCTGGACAGGAAGAAGAATAATCAGAACTGCCATTCCCGCGAGACATGATGGGCCTATCTCCATCCAGAGAAGTACTGTTACTGCTACAGCTTGAATTGGTCCAGCCCACAAGAAGTGCAAGAAAATCGTTACCTAGGCAAATAGTTCGGAAACAAAAATTAGCTTTACTCTTAGCTAAAAAATTAAACTCTAGTAACACAAAGTTGAGGAAGTGCCTTTGCCTGTGGCAGGTACTGAGGCATCCAGTGAGAATTCTGCACCAGACTCAGAGATCTAAATGTACACAGAGGTGCCTAACCTCCGGAAAGTAAGCAAATTACCACATTGATGTTTTTATCTTCATGCACCAACATTTCTCTAAGCTTAGGAAAACAGCAGGAAAATATTTAAGGAGGAAGAAAAGTATGTTTTCCTCCCATATTTTAAGAGAATATTTCTCTTCCTATGATGCTCGAGAAACAACTAGAAGAAATGTTCATAAGAAACATTTAATCATCAGTTGTAAACAGAAACTTCTTAACTGAAACCCCACAATTTCTTCAGCCCCTGGGAAAGATCTGTAATACTTCTTACCTGATCAAATTTGTTCACATCATTGGACAGAAGATTTACTATTTGACCAGTGGTAGTTTTTGCCATAGCTACATTACTGAGACGAAGTGCCTAAAAAAGTCAGAACAGTCTCAATTTGTCACAGCTTATAGAGCACAGTACACCTATACACAGAAGACTCAATACACAAATTGAGGCACATCTCAGCTTTTCCCTGAGAATATCTGGGCATAGTTCAAGAACCTTAGATAATATGTGGGTTAGGTCAAACATTCTGAAGAAAGGCCTGAAGAGGAGTATTAAAAAAAAAAAAAAGTCTAGGGAAGGACTGCAAGAACAAAAGTGCCGTAACTATCTTCATGTCTGAAGTGATTAAAAATGAGAAAATACCAACATAGCGAGTTATTAGCACTAAACAAAAGAGCCTGTAACTTTTCATTTGCATTGCTCTCCCTCACATTATGAACATCTGTTCAAAACAGGAACAGAAAACTCCACCTGAAGACCAAATTAAAATCTGGACAATGTTTGACCAATTGAAAGAATTCCATTTTTAATTAGATTCCTGACAGAGGACAAAAAACCTAAGTTATTCACTTTACACAATCGGTTTTTGCTAACACTTTACACAATCGGTTTTTGCTAACACTGCAAACTGTGCTTTCTGTCTTCGCAAATCAGAGTGAATACCCTTTTACAAATTTATATTTCCATAAGATTTCTGCATTATATTAAGTTTAGCCCATGCTATGAAAAGCAACAAGAGTAAATACCAAATATCTTTATAGGTTAATAAATAAGTTTATCAGTAGAAAATAATATGCAATTATAAAATACCCCCCAAAATCAGATCTGGAAATATGCAGTCTGAACATTACTGCAAAGATCCAAACTGAAATAGCCCAAAGATGCAGATAACAGACCCTGCTTCCTCCTGCTACAAAAGAAAACACAGCTTTGCAGCACAAGCAAAAAAAATATACAAAACATACAAAACATGCTACACATTTTCCTATAACAGGAATAGTTCACTCCTCAAAAACACTTCACATTTTTAGGCTGTGCAAATCTACTTCTCCCTCTCCAAACAGTTACTATTAGGATTGCTTTTTGATCAATAATCTATCCTGAAGAGCACTAATTGTTTCAAAAATATTGTTCCAGTATTTTAGATCACGTGCAAGAACATCAGACATCAAAGTACCATTCAAGGCATCATTTCAAACGAAGTGCCTTACATTTCTTGCACCTCAGTGTTGGGTTACAAACATGTTAGTCACAGAAAGAATCTCAACTCTAACTTCGCTGAAACCAGAAACAGCAGAGAGAAAGTCCACTAAGAAATTCCTCTGATATTCCAATAATAAATCTAAGATCCTGGGTATATGAGAGATGAGCTCTAATTATTTGAGAAAATCATGTCTTTGTTCCCTGCCTTAAGCCATTTCTCTATCATACATCTGAAATCCCCCATGAAGCTGCCTGGAGGTAATGCACCCACAGCACATCCACGTTTCTATCACGTTTATTCCACATCACAGACCAAGGTTGGTAAGCTCCTAGAAAAGCTGTTAGATATCCGTAGACCATAATAATATCAGTTCAAGTGATACGTGGTTGAAGAAGTTGCCCACCAGGGTGTGTTTACAGCACCTACTGCTACTTATGCCTCCGTGACACAGGCATATCTGCTATTTGAGGTCCACCAGAGCCACCCAGGAGAACATTGCGCTAGCGTCTTGCTAGTGGCCCATGGCCTGGGTCTGTCTCGGACCCACCACCTGAGTCACCTTTCTGACCTCTTCCTAGCTGTTTCAGACACAGGCAGCAACAGTTTCAAAATGTACTAGCCCAGTTCATTTTGACCAAGACAGTCTCAGCACAAACTGAGTCTCAGCAAGCATCTGAACCAAAAGGAAGGTGCTCGTCTATTACTGATTTGTCTTCTCAGGGAAGAGACAGCCCTTCCTATTGCAGTGGCAATGCAATTTTGGGGTTTTTTTCCCTTCCTGCTTCAAAACTACTTTTGAAGTAGCACTGGTTTTTGATTGTTTTGGGGTGTTTTTTTTAAAGTGAAATAAACCTTACATTTTCCTGGCTGAATAGACCTGTCAGGACTGCAAAGTATACAGAAGGAAATGGAAACACTGGACAAAAGCAGCAGTTTTACTCATATAACCGGTTTCTACCAAAAAGTCCTGTTTGGGTCCTTTCCCTTTCTATGACATCCAAAACACAGTACGATACTAGATGCTATGAAGAAAATTAACTCTGAGCCAAAGTCAGTACACTGTGGTTTTAAACCCTGCTTTGATAATAACATTTATAAATTCACTCCAAAGGTAAGAAATACTACTGAAGATTACCTAGAGCCACACACCTTTTTAAAGAGCAACAGCAGTTTGAATTTACATTATATTTTACATTTGCCAATTACCTGCCTGTTTTCAGCACAAACACCTGCTAAATTTTTGGACTATAAATTTTCCATACAGATGTAGTTACCAGCAAGGAAAGTAAATTTTAATGATATGAACTAATGAGAGCAGTTTGTACACTTGATGTCTTAAAGTTTTTTTTTCCCCTAGATGTAAATGCGCAGGCCCAATTTCAATTCTTCAACCATTCTTTGCCTTCCATCTTAGTGTTTTAAATCGCTCCCTGCCCCAAATAGTTAATTCAAAAGCACATTAAAAAGGGAGAACTGACCATAGAAAGGAATAACATAGCTGTTCAGTCAAATAACTCCTGACACCTTTTTGGCTTATTTCTATCTCAACCAACTACTTCACAGCTTAAACGGCTTTAGTGTTTATTCTCAACCTCAAAGAACTTCTAAAAGTTAAGTCTTCAAAAAAAATAATCAGCCTCCCATAAGTAGCCTTTGGCTTTAAAACATGAGACTGTGAGTCATGAGACAGATTCCATTTTGGGTTTTGTTACAAGCTTCCTGCATGCATCACTAATACTTCTTATTGATCACGAAACATCTTGGAGTTTGAATACAGGGGGTTTGCAAATGAGATCTTGACTTTCCAGGAAATGAAAAAGGGTCTAAAACTCAAGAATTACGAGCATTTGAAGTTCTCTATTAAGGATGCTCTCTCATCGAGCCCATTCATCCTTGTAAATCCAAGTTTTTATTTACTACAGCAATTAATGAGCACCACGAAAGTGCTGTTAAATTAGCATTCAGATTCTGCCAAAAGCCTATATGAGGATAAAGAGAAAGTATGACCTATCTATAAGCCTCAGATAATGAAGACAAATTATGACAAAGGTTTATCAATGCTCTACTGTGACCTTAGCCGTCACCCTCAGGAGTAAACATTTAGGAGATGCAGGGAGATTAATCTTCCATTTAATCACATCTCTATAAATAAGGGTGCACATTATGAACATTTCTTTCCCAAGCTTCTAAGCTAATATCAACACAGCAACAAACAACATCACTATATACATATTTCATGAATTTCAAACTGTGTTATGATAATCAGTTTAGTAAATTAATACCTTAGAGAGATGTTTATGTACAAGAAAGCAGTGTGCCATGTTAGAGCAGAGTTCCCAGAGGATAATTTCCAAGGTATCAGAAGAGGGAGGAGAATAAATATGTGCATGAAAACCAATCACCACTTACAATGTGGACATTTTTACTCTCCTCACTTTACTGCTTTGCCCAAAACCTTCACATGACCTATACCAGTAGTACAAGTGTTTGCCTTAAGTGCACGGTACCTATGTTCAATGGTTAAAGTGGATTTCTTTACATACTAAAGAAACTTTACAGTCCTGATCCTTCAATTAAACTTCATTGCTGAGGTAAAAACTGGCAGATCACTATTCTAGCAGCACTAAAGCTAAAAAGATAGGGCATTTTCCCTTCTAGCATCCCCAGCAGGTACTTCCTGTTTGGAAGTGGAGACAGGCTCAACGGTTTGGGTCTTGCCAACAGCTTAAGAAGAGGGAAGCAGACACTTACAATTGGGTTGCTTGCTCCCCAGAGCACACTAAGGCCAGCATTTCATAGAATCATAGAATAGTTTGGGTTGGAAGGGACCTTTAAAGGTCATCTAGTCCAACCCCCAGCATTTCATCCTGGATGTCACTCAACTCCTTCCTGTTGGTAATATCTGTAACTTATCTTGTTCCACTTTCCTCTGACAGTGGTCTTGGCTCCATCTGTAGTCAAAGACAGCTATTTCTTTATCAGGACACACAGACAGCAAAGAAACCACAGCTTACCGAATGTACATCCCTTCCCACACTTCATTGGCTTTAATGAAGGACTCCAGTGCTCCCACAGTACAACCAGTAATTGATACTGAAAAACAGCTCTACCCTACTTTCAGGATATAGCTTGATTCTGAACTATGTCTCCTGTGCCCACTCCTCTCCTTCCTCCTCCCAAGTAGGAGGGATACTGAAGGGACTTGCCCATGAAGACGCACACTTAGCATCCCCACCAGCTTGGAGGGCAGCAGTACAGCTGTACTGCTACCTCTCCCTGAGCTAACCTGATGGGTGCCTCAAGAGAAGGGTGCAGCCTCTCTGACCCACAAAGGAGGCAACTCAGTAGTTCTACAGCACTGCCGGAATAAAATATAAATAAATCCCACAAAAAAAAGTGGGGAAGGAACTGAACAGTGACGCAATTCCCAGGCAACTGAGAGTGCTGAAGCAGATGGTGACAGCCAAGCATAATGCCCTCCTCTGGGATGAAACTGCAGGGCTGAGTAACTGCCAACATTCCCTGGGAGCTCTGCCCCTCTCCTGCTGTATGCTGACGGCCTCTTATGGCCCCAGCACACAACCCTTCCACCAGCAATGGAGGGGCTCCTCTCTGACTGCATGAGCAGGTGAAAATCAGCAGCTCCTCCTAGGGTTTCTGTCTATGTAATTCACCACCTTCACTAGGAGGACTGAAGCCGTCATTCAGACACCATATTACCAAAGAGAGTGCAAAAGCACACATATACTAAGGTCTGATACATATTAGCATGCATTACATTTCTACAAATAAGTAACTTCAATGGAACTGCAAGCATGAACATAACAAATAACTATTTTTAAACTCCTCTAATGAAATAGCTGTCAAATGCCAAATATACCTGGAAACAGGTTTGCTTACCTTCCGATAAATCATATGACACATAGCTACCCTCAGCTTCATGCCAGCCCGCTGTACATGATAGAAGTATAAGTGGTGCATTATAGCTAGAATAAGTGTGCACACAGACAGAGCAGCTGTGTAGCAATATGCAAAATTCAAAGCTATCTCATCTGAGGAATCATAGTTTTCAAAATAACTAATTATTTTTCCCAAAAATATTGGCTGAATTATTTTGAGGGTTTCCTGAAAGAAAAAGAAGGGAAAAAAGTATTAACAATTTCATATCATACCATGTTACCCAAGTTTGTAACTGGGCAAACAAGAGTCAAGTACTGCCGCAAGTCACATCCCATATTATTTTGTCTAGTCTGTTCTAAAATGTCAAGCCAATTTTTATCAACACATAATCCAAAAGAAATACGTTCCACACTAAAATGTAGCTGCATCTTTAAAAAGAATGCTCCAAATTACCAGTAAAAACTTTGGTGTTATAAAAATTGCAAGAATACATATTAGACTTCCATTTTTAAAGATGTTCTTTACAGGCATTTACATATAGCAAAATTTTTTTTTCTATTGGGCACCTCAGATACATAAAATACAGCTAAGCCTTACAAAGCAAGTCAATGGCTTGCAATGTTTCAAAAATACCGCACTGAAATCAGCTCTGTCCCACACCCATAATCCCACAGTAACTACTCAATTTTTCAGTCTCTATGGGGCTATAGCTCTGTTGTACTTTTCTGAGAGTGCACATGAACATTACAGGCAGCATGAACAGCCCAGCATGAAGTCACCAGTATGGATCACACCATCTAAGAGGCCAAGTTTACACTGCTGTTAGCTAGGAAGTGTGTTCTATGACATTTTACACCACTTACCTCAATCATCGTGAAAATTCCAAAAACTAAATATGATTTCCAGTAACAAAGAATAATGGCTTTTGTTAAACGTGGCGTTTTTCCTCTCTTTTTTGCTTTTTGCACCTCTTTATCCCAGTACCTGACAAACAAAACGCAAACATGCTGGAGGATAGAAGTAAAATCACAAGGCAATTACCTGGAATAAAATACTTTCAGGCTTACAGCCAGATAGCCACAATCACTTTCATACAACAAAACAAAACAAAAAGTTAACAGTCATATTTTCTCATTCACATAAACATGTAGTACTTAGTATTACAGGCCTATTTGCTTTTGTAGAACCACAAACAATTCACCACTGTTGACTGATATCAGTTTTGACCTATTTGCCAATGAGGAATCCATTCTTTCTTTCTTCTCCTCTCCATTCAGCCAGCCACTCACCTTAGTTAATAGCCTATTATCATATGATCTCCTGACTATTGACTAAACTGAGGCAGCATGGAGTGTCTTCATTCCTGTAAGCTCTGCACTTCCCTAGAAAGGTTGTGATGCACAACTCTTTCTCATATCTCGCCCTTTCTTCCTTTTTCCACCACGTGCTTTGATGAGGATGAGCCGACATGGCACAAGAGTAGAGGGAACCGTCTGCAGCAGTTTTGTCACTTAACATTCCACACGTCTCTCTGAAGGCAAGGATTACAGCAGCAGAGCGATAAAGACCTTTGCATTACCACATGTCTGCCCACAAGTAGGACACAATCTGCCCACATTAAAATCAAAGACAGTAATAACAAGCATGATTTTAACAAGAAAGTATCAGAATTTAAGCAGACTTCTTAAAGCACGCTGTTGTCAGACAGGATACACCCCCTTGCTTCTGGAGGCTAAACTTTTTCTGCCAGACCTTCTGACCCTGCTAGTTTGAGGGGTGAAATGAGTCTAAGGCATGAAAGCCAAATTATTTTGCAACAAAGTACAAAACTTTGAAGAATACAGTATGGATAAGAAAACTTTTTCGGTTTACCTTTTTTTTTTTTGTTGTTAGAAGTATTATAATTATTGTCTAAATGCTTCAGAATCAGATTTGAAACTGTGTAGTTTCTGTGGGGTTTGTTGGCCCAAGAGAAAAGGCTACTTCCTTAAGTGGCTATTTATGAATGATATTCCCTGCTTCTTGGCCAAGTACATGAAAGCATTAAATACCACTTTTTTTTTTTGCATGCTGTAATTTCTACCATTTCCTGACTCATGGAAAGTGCATGCTTTTACTGTAAGAATCATTGGAAACAGTCCATCCTCCTCCACAGCAAACTCCCTGAACTGTTTCAAGACACATCCAGAGCAGGATGACATAAGAGCTGCACATAATCCTTTCTGGATTCTTTTTACTTCTTGAGGAGTCTCTCATCCCAATCAAACTATTAGGAAAGAAAGTTGACTTGCTGTACCTTCAGCATAAAGGCAAGAAATAGCAACGCCACACCTCCTGAATACAGAGGCCACCTTTCACTAGGGGACACCTCTTCCTCTATATTTAACAGAAGATTATTTGAAGACAAAAACCTTCTCTATTGCAAGGTTCAAAACAATTTACATAAGCTGTTATTCTTGGAAGATACTTCCCTGTTAAAGAAAAAGACAGATCCTCCTGGGACCATAACAACATGAATTGGTACACAGTCCACGAAGGAGTATTTATAAGAAGATAAAAAACCTCCTAGATGCAAGCTTTTAGATGTCCAAGGCATTTTATCCACTTTACCAGAGTTGTCTATTTTCAACATACATATATTTATATACACATATAGAGAGACAGCTGTCACTTAATTCAGTTTGTGCTCAAAACCAAAAACAACAAAGAAAAAAACCTAAAACTTTTTCCTCACTTTTATAAAGAGAAACTTGAAAGTTCCCATAGCTGTTCTACCACAGGCCAGAAGACTCAGACTGATTTATTAAGGATTGCTGCAGTAACAACATTTATTAAGGATTACTGCAGTAATAGTTGATGAAAAGTCTTCTTTTCCAAGCATTCTGCAAAGTGTCAAATTAATTATAAATGACATAATGGAAATACTCTAATGCTTTCTCATTATGTATAACTTCAAAAAATTAAAATGCTTTCATGGTAAACAAGTTCTACATATTACTCTCAGTTCTTCCACATTTTTAACACTAGACCTTGCTAAACTTTACAACAACCTCTTTTAATTTTAGAATAGGAGTAAGGCTCTCATCTTCACCAGCAGAAATACAGTGAAAGAGAACAATTATTTTCCTCCTTACCATTGCAATTCCTCTCCAAGCTTCTCAGAGGAATCTTCTGGCAGCACTTTATACATATCATCTTCTTCAAGCTTCCGTTTATGGCCAATAATAAATAAGGGATTCAACCACCTATTTAAATACAAATTATTAACAAACTGATCAGCAGACCAAAAGAGTAATTTCTTTACTCCTTTTACCCCTTTCTTCCCTCCTCTTCTCCTGCGGCACTCAATCTCCACACATTTTACTGCACTTTTCTCTTACCTAAGAATTAAGTCACCCCCATTTTACAAACGGGAAAGCATTTCCTGTTTCCTAAAGCTGTTTATGCCCCATAGAACCTTACTACCAGGCATCCAGACAGCCATCACAACTCTTCTTGGCCTCAAGGCAACTGTTTTCTTACAGTGTTTCCTTAGAACTAAGGAAAATTAGTATTCTTTTAAATATTTAGGAAAAAACAGAACTTAATCCAACTATTAAAATATTGACAGTTGTACATAGAAGTGTAATACATACTAGAAGACACTTTTTGTAACTAAAGTGGATATTCATTTACATAAGGAAAAAACTGCTGTTCAATGGCCCTCTTGACATATTAAAGGTCAGTAAGTTAAAGACAACCACTCCAATGTAAAAATGGGTAAATAATGGATTATTAATAAGAACTGATCTTACCAATGTTTGGAAATAAAAACAAAAAGCACATTGTCACAGTGTGTAGGTTCAAAACCAGAAAATATTGTCTAACAGCTCAGTTTCCTTAGTGGACAGACTTTTTAAAGCTCAGTATTTTATGAGAGCATTGTGAAAACAAATTCTAATAGCGCTACTGTCAGTTTGTTGAAAAATGTAGTATTTTGTTAGATGAAATAATACTGACATGGAACAGTAAAACTAGCTTTTATGCACCTAGATCCTCCCTCAAGCCTCAAAAGCAGGTCAAGGAGGTCCAGATTCAGTTGTACTCCACAGAGCAGACAGATGCATGGCAGAAAGCACAAAAGTGACCAAGTTGACATGAGATGAAGCAAGAAAAAGACAACTTGAAACAGGCATGGCTTAGTGGGACAGGGGAGTTAAGTAATTTGCAGTTTGCCCCTTAGTTTGCCTCTCTACTGAATCCATGATACTTGGCTTCCAGAAGAAACATGGATTTTGGCTCTCAGGCTTGTTTCCTACAAGTACTTCCTCAGTTGGTCAACACAATCAGAATCAAGAGGTCAGGGATGGACATGTTGGAAAAAATACTCTTGCACTCACAGCAAGGTGTTTGTTTGTTGTGAATTGTCTGTGAAAGTTCCCAGCTGCTTCATTATTCCCCGACTTCACCAAAACACTTTTTAAAAGACCACCTGGTGCACTAGGTGAAGTATATTATTTTCTGGAAGGCTTACACATGAGGATTCAAAACTGGGATAGTTTACAATGAGGGCATTTATTTATTCACAACCACAACAGTGGTTATGAAGACTCATCAGCTAGCTTTGTATTTCTTGCTCGGGCATGTTGCAATTAAATTTTGTATACACTAGCTTATAAGAAGTGTGTTGATCAGTTTTAGAGAGGGTGGAGGGACAGACTGAACCCAAGAACAGGGGCTCAGAGTTTCTTCAAAGACAGAACAGTTGTAAAAACCTTTTTTACAGGCTCCATGGCACAACTGCATGTAACAAATGGGATTAATAGTGTTTTTCCATCACTACTTAGCATGTTAGCACAGTGTTTGTGTGACTCATTCACAGATTAAGTCTTTATCCTTAGAGCAGCATCTTTGATGCCTAACAGCCCTTTTTAAACTCTTGGAGTGAGTACTGAAGATCTGTATATGTGAGCTGTTAAGTCCTCAATGTACGTTAAAGGTAGAACTAGAAGCAGAAAGTACTTGTCAGACAAGTCTGTTCCTTGGACTGTATGGTCAAATAGCACCAGGGCCCAAATCACTGCCACAATTTCCC